GGACTAATATTGTAGTCCTAGAAGGAGGGAAGACAGAATACATCATGGTGTATATAACATACATAGGAGTCAAATATACTATGACAATAGCAAAAGGGCCAAGAGAGGGAGAAATGGAAATGGTTGTAAGGTTCTTTACCATATGAAAAATCGTATAATATTACTGAAGGCAGACTGTGATGAGTGACAGATATATACTGTACACCCTAAAGCAGCCACTAAAAGAAAACAATAAAGAGCAATAGCTAATGTGTCAAGGAAGGAGATGAAATGGAACCATAATACGTATTCTATTATTCTAAATTAAGGAAGAAAAAGGGAGGAAAGGTAATAAAGAACAGATGGGACTAACAGAAAACAATAAACAACATGGTAAGTTTACACAAAATTGTATTAATAATCACATTACTCATAAATGGTCTAAACACCCAATTAGAAGGCAGAGATTGTCAAAGTGGATTTAAAAAATAAAACAACAGCCAACTATATTCTGTCTCAAAGAATGCTGCCCTAAATTTAAAGACACAGATGAGTTAAAAATTAAACAATAGCCAAGGAAAATTAGAAAATATTTTGAACTGAACAAAATGAAAAAGACAGCATAATGAAATTTGGGGGATACAACTAAAACAATGCTTAGAGGGAAATTTACAGCATTAAATGTTTGTACAGAATATAAAGAAATGTCTGAAATTGATAACCTAATCCTCTACTCTAAGGAACTAGAAAAAGAAGAATAAATAAAACCCAAGTCAAGTAGAAGAAAAGAAATAAGTTCAAAAATCAGTAAAATAAAAAATAAGACAATATGAGAAAATTAATTGAACCAAACCTGGTTCTTTGAAAATATCAGTAAATCATAACTTCTCACCAGATGTACTAAGAAAAAGAAGAGAGACACAGAGAGGAATATATCTATACCAGGAATGAAAGGTGACATCACTACAGACCCTGCAGAAATTAAAAGAGTAATCTGAGAATTACCTATGACTTAATCCACAGGGAGCTTGTGAATAATTTAGATTGCTAGGCCCTACCCCAATCACAGTGTTTCAGAATCTCATATTGATACAGGAGGGGAATATGCTAAGGTTTTTCCTTTTCTGCAGACATTCCTGATGACTGATGTAAAATGGAGCCCAAGGTTCCCTATTTCAGAATAGGGTCAGCCAGTCTCCAAGCTTTATTACTAGGCAAACAAAAAGGGGGCGGGGGGGAGAGACATTGTGTTCCACTAACTTCTGAGAGGAGTCTCAGTCTATACACTTTGGAAATAATTTGCCAGGCACTTTGTAAGAGGCAACTGATGTAAGAAACAGTGAAACCCTCACACACCAAGATTCCCTCCACTTTTTCTTTATGTGGCACATATGTTGAGGGTTAAGGTCAACTATGTGGAACCTTCCCATGTGCATATCCCCAAAAAGTAAAAGAAGCACATCATCTGCAAATACCACAATGTTAGATTCCCATAATAACTGTCCACAGGACCTTTCTGAAGTTCAGCCTGATTTCTAGATTTTTAGGTGAAACACCAACTCTTTTCTTGCCTGCCTAGAAAACAATTGAACTCAAGAACTTAGAACAGTATTATGACAGGGATAAATACAAATCTGTTTGACATCCTTTAAGCAAATCATTCACAAACTTATTTGACTCTCATTAGTGACCAATGATTCTCAAAACTCAGAAAACAATGACACACTAGTGAATGACACCACCATCACAGCAGCCAGAGGTTGAGATTGACCTATTTATTGTGCAAAGAAGGATACTCTCTGGTCATAACCAACTCCCCAAACCCCAGGGCTTCCCACCCACCCAGACAGCCCAGAGCACTGGTAGGCTACAGCCTATTACATACTGTTTAAATAAAGATTTGCAAGGAAAATAAATTCACAGCAACATTCATTATTGATCATTCTCAAAACTGTCTGGAGAATTCCCCCAGAGGGCTTAAGAAAAAAATTAAACATTGTTTTCCTGAGTTGTTTCCTGCTGTTTTTCCACTTCATTGGTTTTTCTCCCATAATTATGTGCATTCCTATAGCCACATAATGTTTTAGTATTGCTGAATTATGTCATACAACTTCTGGATCATATGTCAACAATTTGGGTGTGAATAACTATGATGATGTTACAGCAACAATCACCATGATAAGAAGATACACTTGGTGTTTTTCTTTTTTTACCAATATCTCTTAACTCTTTAATTTTTTTTACTCTAACCTAGATCTGCTCCATTAAAATCTTCAAATAACCAACTCCAAATCTATGTCTCATTTCTCAACTCATTTCACTACCGCTGACCACTGCCTCTTATTTAAAGCTCTTTCCCCTTCTGTTTTCCCTATTGTTGCTCTCTTCTAGTTCTTTTCCTGTTTCTCTGACCTCATAAGCCATTGTCCCCATTTTCAAGGGTTCTGAAAGTTTGGCATTTCTCAAACTTCTAATCAGAGTTTTCTTATCACATTCCAAACACTCTCCCAAGCCTCTCACCTCCTCTCATGGTTTAAAATGTCATCATCAATCTACCTACCTAGAAATTAGATCTTTGACACAGGATTCAAGGTGTTATGTCCCCATATCCCAGTTTATTTTTTCCACATTTCCCACTACCCTCTCACATACCCTGTGTTCCAGACCAATTAATCTACTCACTTCAGCCAACATCCTAGATGCTTTCCTCTATCGATAGCTTTGACTTCCTAGTCCTTCTGCCTAAAGTGCTTCAACAGATAATATCCAACAATACATTTAAAATGACAAATGATCCATTATCAAATCTGTATTATTTAAGGAAAGTAAGGATGGTTCAACATTAGAATACATAATATTAATATAATTTAGAATATCAAATGTGACAAACAAGACATATAATAGTGTTTACAGTGGAGGAAAAGACATTTGATAAAATTCGACAGCCATTTCTGATTTTTTTAAATGCACAGAATACTAAAAATAAAATGCTAACTCCTTTATATGACTCAAAAAAAAACTTTCTCAAACCAATCATCACCCATTATACCTAGTAATAAAACATTTGAATCATTCCTTTAAGGAGAAAATCTTTACCAGAATGTCTATTATCACCGCCATTATTTAACATTTTTTCTGAAAGTTCTATCCAAAGCAATAAGATAAGAAAAAAATAGAAATTTAGGAAATTTAGGAAAGGAAAATGGAAAAGGGTCATTATTTACATATTTTATGTGTGTACCTAAAAAAGAAAACTATCTATTTGTACTAATAATAGACTTTAGAGAGGTGGTCAAATAATACACATTTAAAAATTAAGCACCTTCCTGAAGTAAAGCAATGATCAGTTAGAAAATATAACCAATATCATATCTCAAATGAGCATGGTTATTTAGGGTCAAAAGAAAATTTCAGCACAAACATGACATAAATATATATACATTCGTGTGTATCACTCCTATATCCTTAGATTATAAAAAATATTCATAACATGATTATTTCTCTATTTATTTAAATTATTATGATGATTCTCTTTAATTCAAAAATGCAATAAACAGTCAAGGAGATTCACAAATAGTTTTACAATCAGGTAGTCCATTCTGCTGAGAACAGTTATTAAGCAGTGAAATTAACCAGCTTTAAGTTGGATGTCTGATTCAAAACAAATGAATTATATACTTTACAAGAGTGTATTTATGATATACTAATTATATGTTAATTACAAATTTCAAAAATAAAGAAAAATGTGATGCCTCTAAAGAGATGACTAATCATCCTCATTCGTATGTGGGCCTTGAATGTATCTGTGCAGATACACAAACACAGACACTCATAGTTACAAATGTATGAACCAAAACAACACGGCTTCAAGCTTATTCCTGAAAATAGTGAGCCCTCCAACTCCCATAGACCTCCCCATGGTACCTGATGGAATTCCAGATCACTTTACCACTTCTCATGCATTTTCATCACACATGACCACATGCCATGCTCATTCGAATGCAAAAGTACACATAGAATTGCTGATTTTTCTCCTGGCGGTGCATTATTTATGCCTCTCTTGTCCCATTTTGCAGACAAGGACACAAAGGCTCTGAGAAGGTAAGGAATGTATCCAAGTTCACAGAAATAGCAGTGTCCAGACTTAGGGCTGTGAACCCAGGTCTCTAGAGTGCAAGCCAAGATGCCCAGGACCCAGAGTTGGAACTCCTGACTTCTGTCCCACAGTAAGACCAGCCTGAAAAGTCTCCTTCGTGCCCCCTGGCTCCAGGACCTGGGCTCCTCACCCCCCGAGGAGGAGTACCAGTTACTTTGATGGAGGGAAGGACTGTGCTAGGTGCATTATGCACTTTCCAGCTATGTTTACTAAAGATGCTCCGAGGATGAAAATTAACTGGGAAGCATCCCTACCCCTCCCAAAGGCGCACTGAACCAGAGCCCTAAAAGCAAGAAGGGGAACCTGGATTCTGAAGACCTGCACAGGCACTTCTGACAAGACAAGCCTGAAAAACACTGCATTGCTTTCTCTGAGCCTGACAGTCACACTGTTAGCATTATCTCTGTGAAACCCATGGTTTTAAAATTTCATGGAAATCTATATGACAGAGAAACTTAGCAGAATAATCTTGAGCAAGAATTCAATTTCCAGTGATTATTTGTAGGGAGCATGGGGTCCTGAGACATGACCTTATTAATAAGCAAATGGCAACAGGGTAACTTTGGAGGTACATCTAATTAATGCAGATTTAAAATAATAACCAGTGTTGGCCAGGGCTTAGGAAATGGTTATTCCGAAAGGAGAAAAAAATTTCACACAAACTTCCTGCTGTGACTCCATCACTCTTCATCTAGGAATGTAGCCTTAGGAATAATTACACGTGTGTGCAGAAATGAATTTTCAAGCCCCTCTAATGCTACAGTGTTTATAGTAGCTGAAAGCTACACACAGTCCAGGTGTCTGACAGCAGAGGATGGGCCAGCTAAACTACTGGGGGAATTAATAAAAGAAAACACGTGTAACTACTTTTTTTCAATGTGAATCTGGGTTCAGGGACTTGGGAAAATATACTTACTATAAAATTAAATGAAGAAAACAGGTTGCAAACAATATATGAATGAGCCCTTTTTGCTTTAAATAATAATTACATATATAAAATATTGCACATACACACACACACACACACACACACACAAATACAATGTTATTCCTGGAAACAAAGATTGCAATGAATGACTACTAAATTCCTAATAGTGGTAATAGTGGTTACCTTTGGTTCTCTTTTCTCTCTTTCATTCTTTCTTTTTTCTCTTCTTTGCTTTGCTTTTCTTTTTGGCTGGTGTGTATTTTCTAATGTTTTCAGGATTACTTTCTTGTATTTATAACCTACATGCATGTATATCATGTGAGCTTCCCAGAACCTGCCGCTGCTCTCAGGAAGGACCACGCTGACCAGCAAGCAGGCACGGCTGGAAAGCAAAGAGGCAGAGCATCACTGGGAGCGCTGGCCTGGGATGCTCCTGGTCTCCTCCCCAGCTTCCTGCTGGGAGAGAGGCGAGGCTGGCTCAGGCCCCGACGGTGACGCCGATGACGGCGACAGGGAGGTGTGCGAAGCCGGGCGCAAGCTGTGCCAGCTCTTGCTAATCCTCTGCAGTATGGTTCGCTGCTAATTTGTCATGGCACATATTTGCCTTATGTCTAATTAGCATCAAATTGCAAACTGCTATTTGCTAACAATTTGTTGCATCAATCTGCTTGAAAATCTATAGTTTAGAATTGGATTGCAACTCACCCTGTCTATCAAAATTCTCGTTCACACATACACAAAATAACTTCCCCTTCCCGCCAAAAACGTCGCAATGTTTGCAGTGGCACAAAAGGAGAGCGATGTAATTTTTTTTCTTTCTTCTTTTTTTCAAAGGAAGAAGAACCATGGGGTGTTTCATTTTGAATGTCCTGGCTTTGATTGCCCATGGCTTGGGAAGAGGGCTGGGACAGTGCTCACACTCAGAGACAGTGCTGGTCCAGGCCTTTCTTCCAGACTCTTCAAGAAATTCAAGGCACAAAAAGGACCAGAAGCCCAGGACCTGTGTCCCAGAAATAGGACCCTCAGGTCAAGGGCACAAAGAGAAACCGGAGTTCTCTCAAGCTTATGCCTCCAATCAGCCCTGCTGAGAGATGCAGCCTCGCCCCACCGTCTGCCCATCTAACTTTAGCAGCCACCCAAGGAAGTCGGGGTTCATAGTTTCCTTATATACAAATGGTGAAACTGAGACTGAGCACATGTCATATGTGGGCCAAGTGGCAGAGCAAGGAATTCAAAGCTGTCTGGTGACATGTCACAGCCTCGCTGACCATCTCAACAGCAAAAATAGATTGTAGGAATAATAACGATGATGCTAAAAACTATGAAATGAAATAGGAATGAAAATCTAATGAAACTCAAAAGGAAACAATATCTAATAATTGCATCTCACTTGATAGTTTGGCCCCACGGAGTCAAACCATCTAGTTGGATGTTGGACATTTTGGTTTGTGACATGCAGGAGGTACAGGCTGGGGACCTGCAGACTCTCGCTCCCTCCTCGTGGTCTCAAAAGCCACCTCTAGTGGTCCAACTAGAATGGAGAACTGGGACAACCTCGCTGGCAGGAGGGACAATTCCTGTGGAATCCAAGTAAAGTCAAAAGTGATGTTGGGGTGGGGGGGTCCCCTCTTCCCTGTCCTCTGGGGGAAGGAGAGTAGGAGGCCCACTACAGGGACGCCACAGCCCCACCGTGGACCACAGGTGTGGTAGCTGGGACCTTCCCAGCCCAGGAAGCAATTTGCTAGAAAGTCTCCACCAGCTAGAACCCCTAACCTCACAAGTGGCTCAGAGGCACGAGGCTCTCAAGGTATGAATCTCCAGTTCCCTTTAGCATCCTTGAAGAACGGTCTTGCTTTGGAAAAAAAAAAATCCCCGCTGAACAGTATGAGGGCTCCTTAAAAAAAAAAGCAATAGAACAGCCATGGCATCCAAGAAATCCCACTTCTGGGTGGATGAAAACAGGATCTCGGAGAGGTATTTCCCCACCACCAACCCCATGTGCACTGCAGCATTATTCACAATAGCCCAGAGAGAGGAGCAAACTAAGAGTCCATTAACAGGTGAATGAACAAAGAAAATGTGAGATACATATTCCACTCTGTGTGTGTGTGTGTGTGTGTGTGTGTGTGTGTATCATATAATATTACTGAGCTCTGAGAAAAGGAAATCTTGTCTTTGCAACAGCATGGATGAATCTTGAGGGCATTATGCTAAGTGAAATAAGCCAGACAGAGAAAGATAAACCCTGTCTGATCTCACTTATATATGGAATCCAAAAAAGCTGAACTCAAAGAAACAGAGGAGAGTGGTGGTTACCAGGGCCTGGGGGGTGGGGGCTGGAGGAAATGGAGAGATGTTGGCCAAAGGGTACAAACTTCCAGGTGTATGATTAACAAGTTCTGGGGAATCTCAGGTGCAGCGTAATGATTATTAAAACTAATAATATTGTATTATATACTTGAAAGTTACTAAGAAAGTAGATTTTAAATGTTCTTGTCCCCCAAAAAAGAAGACAATTATGTGATGTGATGAAGGTGTTAGCTAATGCTATGGTGGTAATCATTTTGCACTGTATACATGGATCAAATTAACATATTCTACACTCAAAACTTACACAATATAATATGTCAATTATATCTCAACAAAGCAAGGGGGGAGCCTGTATGCTGACATTTTATATAATAATGAGTTACCACTCTCAATAGTCATAGTTAATATTACAATAATAAATAATGAGTTACTACTGTAAATGATCAGTTATTATTACAATAATCTCTACTTTTGTAGTTTCTCCTTGGAATTTCCTGGGGAGGGAGATAAAAGATTATCTAAGCGGATCTTCAAAGAAGGAGCTAGAGAAATCCCAAGGGTCCCTGGACAACTGACAGAACAGCTGTCTGTCCACATCCACGAACCCCACAAACAGTCAGGAGTAATTAGCTTGATGTGTAGGACTGACTCCTAGGTCATGTTCCAGGCGCCATGACCCGTGCTGGGACAGGAGGGAAGCAGGGAGACCCAAACCATGGCAGAGTGAAAGTATGCAGAGGCATAAGGAAAGTGGTACCCCAGGCAACGAGGCAAGTTGCTGGTGAACTGGTGAATGTACATCAGTCTGCATCTGAGAAGGCTTCCTGGAGGAAAGGGTGCCTGATGGCAACAAGGAGAACACAGAGCAGGGATGGAGGGCCCTTCCTGGCAGAAAGAGGAGCAGGTACAGAGATCCAGAGATGACGGGGTAGCTGGAGCTTCTCAGGGACTTGGAGAAGCTCTGAGTGGCAGCTACTGGAAGGCCACGGGCAAGCTCAGAGCCCCTGGGCTCCCCTCTGCCTTTTGAAAGGGCCTCTTCCAGAAAGCAGAGTCTTGGAATGCCTGCAGATAAAGTCCTTTTCCATTCTTCCTCGAGAATATATTTGCAGCCATCTCTCCGTTGGGCTCCTTGAAGGAGTTGGGCAAAGGAGAGGAAGATTCTGAGCTGATTCATGCAGATACAGGGAGCAAGGAGCTTTCTTCACTTGTGCTCATGGAATGACTCTTCCACTTAACAAGGCATTAAGTGAGTGTTTGCCCCATGCCGGGATTCAAATAGAAAGGATGCTGCCAGCTACTGAATGGATGCACATTAGTCTGGTCTGTATTTGGACTGCAAGAAGGCCAGAAGCCACAGAGACCTGCAGATGACCCAAGTGCACCTGTGGGAAGAAAACGCAAAGGAGCCCAAGAGAACACACAACCCCCAAACGATCCCCTGGGCGGGAGAAGAACGCGCCCTCGGAAGAGCTGGGCTTGGGGGCTGTGTTCACATCCACTCAAGTAAGCCTTCAACCTCCCCCACCGCGTACAGGCAGACAAGGAGAGCTAGTGCTGTCGGGAGCTTCAAGATCCAGAAGAACAGGCGGGGAACTTGGGGTTGTTGAGGTAGGAAGGAGGACAGTTCAGAGGCCAGAGACAGTGGTCTTGCCCAGGACACAGAGGCCACCCTCTTTCCACCTGCCGCATAATGTCTATACCACAAGCCCTTCTTAGCACAGCAGAGGAGCAGCCCCAGCCATCCTCCAAGACACGGCCCCACTGGTAAGGATGGCATCCAGGAAGACAAAGCCATTCTGTTCTTTCATCAAAGCCTAAATAATCTTTGGATTTGGTTTAAGTCACATGTCCAAAAAGTGCACAACTTAGAAGCCCGTAAGGTCTTTCAATCCCCGTACTGGTTGATGGAAGCTACTGTGGTGCCCCCACCCCCTCAATGCCCCACTTCCTGGGTGGGGGGATCACTTCCTGTACCTTGCATTCTGCTTCCTAACAGAAGGTGGGAGCAAGAGCAGGTGTGTTCATGCCACCGACGGTCCTTAGAAGTCTTGTGGCGTTGGTGGAAGGGACAAGCTCCATGGTGGACAAGCAGTTACCTGCCCCCTGCCCCAGAATCCCCTGCCACGTCGGCCTGCATGGGGGCCAGCCCAGGATCTCTGCCCTCCCACTCTGCATCTCCCTCCTGCCTGCACAGCACGCTGACCTTTAACCTTTCCAGGAGCTCAGACATCGCTGGGACTTCCACACAGCTGCTGTCAAAATGTCGGGCTGCTAACTATAAACTTTATTTTGATGTCTTGCTTTTCGGGAATAATTATCCGGTGCCTAAAATGTTAGCCTATTTACTGCTCGTGCAAAAAGATGACAATACAATCAATGTTGCACAAGTCCCCAAAGTCCATCAAAGTCTTTTGCAATGTTAATGGACTGGTGGGTCTAAGAGGTGTGAGCTCATGCCGGCCTGAGTGGATGCCCGGCTCCAGCAAGGGGACGTTCGGCCTTTCTCTTATCAGCCTGCTAACCTCCATCTGCCAAATTCATTCATTCTAAAGAGTTTGCTTAGTCCCTGGGCTGAGCGAATGGGTGGAATCAGGGGAAGGAGGGTGAGGGCAGACTGACAGGTACCTAAAATCACAAACCCTATGAGCTGGCCAGCACTTAGAGGCACTGACACGTCCAACTCCATCTTCTCCAGACAGGAACACAGGTCCAGAGAGGGAAAATGGTCCACCTGGGGCCCCACAGCTAATAAGTTACGAAGCCAGACCCAAAACCGTATCTTGAGGTCCTTGGTTGAAAATTCTATCCAGCACTCTGCTGTTGCAGTGGAATGAGGTTTCTCCCCCACTTTTGGCATCCTCTCTTAGAACAGAGATGTCTAGAGCAGAGCAACACCTGCAGCCAGGAGGGCAGGATGTCCTGGGCTGTGACTCATCCAAGTGCCAGCAAGGCCTGAATGTTCAGAGAGGTTTGGGAAGGCTCTATAAAAATTTCCGTCCTGGGTAGTCAGTGTATGACTGAGAAGGTCCTGAGAACTCTCACAATAAGCATCATGTTCACTTTGCTTGCCTG